TGCTGTTGGTTGACGGGGTGTTGTCAAGGTTGTTGGTGGTTACTGTCTAACGCTGGGCAGTTGGGATACATGCAGAGCCTTGCTCTGATGGAACATACAGGTGCTCTCGTCTAGCACGTCACGGGATCTGCAATGATCATCGTGCAGGAACTGAGTCACTGGAGGAGCTGGTGAATTTTTGTCTTTCCTTTTTGACTTTTTGTGGAACGGTCTTTGAGTCTCTGCCCAAGTTTGCAATGTACTCACCAAATCCTTGAATTTCTGGATCCCTCACTTTCTGTGGATCAGGACTCTCTGTGAATTAGAGTCTCTGCTGCTCAGTGATTCCTTGTGTTACTGCGGCTTTAAATTTTTATGTACGGCCACAGGTGGGTACAGCTTATGCCTGTTGGGCTAACATCAGGTATGCTCAGCGGTAGGGAGGGACTGCAAGGAGTCATCTCAGGAGCCTACGAGGCTGTTGCCTACTAGACTGTGTGGTGACAGTGGGTGTGGCCTGGACTTTACTTTTTAAAAAAATTAATGTTAGGGGCTTGGATCCAGCGGCAGCCAGGTTCTATGGCTCAGCTATGGCCAAAATCAAGGCTCAGGAGCTTCGTGGCAAGAAGGAGAAGCTGTTAAAACAGCTGGACGATCTGAAGGTGGAGCTTTCCCAGCTGCGCGTCGCCAAAGTGGCAGGCAGTGTGGCTTCTAAGCTCCCCAAAATCCCGAGTCGTCCAAAAATCCATTGCCCGTGTTCTCACTGTTATTAACCAGACTCAGAAGGAGAACCTCAGAAAACACTATAAGGACAAGAAGTACAAAACCCTGGATCTGCGGCCCAAGAAAACACGTGCCATGAGCTGAAGGCTCAACAAGCATGAGGAGAACCTGAAGACCAAGAAGCGGCAGCGAAAAGAGCGCCTGTACTTACTGCGGAAATACGCAGTCAAGGCCTGAACTTCTTAAATAAATAAAACACAAAACTAAAAAAAAAAATTAATTTCAATGAAAGTTTACAGAGACTTAGGGTTTCCATTCATTCATTGTTGCACTTTTCTCCCTGCCCACCCCTACCTCCCAATTTCTTCTTCTCTTTGAAAAGTGAAAGAAACATTCTTTCATTGTTTTACAATCCCTTTCCCCAAGTCCACCCCACTATGCAGCCTTCATTCTGGACTCCTGTCATGACAATAATACCTAATAACATATCCCTTTTAAACAGTTCTGTCCCTCATCTGATTCAATGCAGTATACATAATTTATCCCCTCTTTCTCAGCCTTCCCTCAGCCCCAATGTCAGTCCCATTTTACAACAGTGGCCCTATGCAATATTTGTTCTTTTGTGACTGAGATATTTTACTCAGCATAATGTCCTCCAAGGTCACCCATTTTGTATAGTATTTCATGAGTTCCTTGTTTTTCAATGCAGCGTAGTATTCCATTGTGTGAATATACCACTGCTTCTCTATCCATTTGTTTGGTGATGGGCATGGCCTGGACTTTTACCGAATGTTCCTCAGCCAGACCATCAGGCAGGCATGGATTGAGGAATGGGGCACAGTGTGCAAAGTCAGTTTTTGTGTGAGGGGGCTGCTTTTTCTATCATATGCAAATCCCTGCCCACTGTGCATGTGCTGGCATCCACATCATGTTCAAAACTGCTTCACTGAGGTCTGGCCCCCATCAGCACAGGGCCTCTCCTCCCAGGCTCAAGATGTCACTGTGGGAGAAGGGTCATCCTGAAGACTCCCTCTCATGCTACCCATCCGTTCTCATGGAAGTTTGCTCGGTCAATCATCTATGAGTAGCATGCCCCTGTGGTGGGCATGCAGTACCAGTAGGCTGTTTTTTCTTCTCTTTGTGTGGTCCCTACTCCAGGCGGGCCTGCTATATGGTGGTGTGTGTTTCTGCTCATTTGGTCCTTACCCCTGCCTTCACTCACTCTCCTTTGTGCCCGACTCTCAGTAATTTCCATCTGACTTCATGGTACTTAATCTACTGTCCGTAAGTGGATTTCACTATCCTTTTGTGTCCCCGTGGGAGATACGCAGTTTTGACAGTCTAACTAGTTCGTCATCCCACCAGAAATCTCTGTAATTGGGTTTCAAGAAGACTACTCTGACTGCTGGTACTTTGAGCATGTGGCTAGGAGGTACTGGTAGTACTTGGAAAAGAACTTCATGCTTGAAAAGGTGGAGTGTCAGCAAAGGAGGAGATGAACTGACACAACGACTGTAACAATGGTCTCAGTGTGGCAGAGGTGATCAGGGTGGCACAGAAGCAGGCAGGGTTCAGATCAAAGGGTCACTAGGAGTTGTAGTCCACTCAGCAGTGCCTAACAACAACTCTTAGTGTTGTGTAGAAAGGACATCAAGGTCAGAGTGGAATCAAGAGAATCAGGTTAGTGGAGTATCAGGTTATTGGAATCAGGTTATTGGACAATCAGGTTATCGGATCCAGGCAAGGGCTGGTAGTGACTGAGAGCAGGCTGACTATAAGTGGTCCCATTCTGTGCAACATTCAAAGAGTTAACAGGAAAAAAATTTTAAAAGAATTAATAGAATTGATCTAAAACATGGTTCCTCAACTCAACAAACGAATGGATAGAGAAGCTGTGGTACATTCACACAATGGAATATTATGCAGCATTGAAAAACAAAGAACTCTTGCAACACCCCCATGATACATCTTCAAGGATATGAACATGTACGGCCAAGCACAATCAATAAGAGTGCATCTAAATTCCAAAATCAATCTCCATAATAGTCTATGTGTTTCCTACTGCCAAAGGGGCCCTTTAGAGTAGTGAGAGAAGATCTTCACCCTGAAACCCACAGCGTCCCTTTTCAGCAGGAAGTAGCTAAGAGAATACGCCATCCCCTTTTCCTTATGACTCAGGGTGAAGTCTCTCTCAGGGAGGAGTGATAGGGAATGGCAAAGGACACACTGACAAAGAAGATTAATCAGAACTGGCTTTGACAAGCACTGTGGCATTTGGACAAGAACAAACTGGGAGGAAGGTAGAGAGAATAGTGCAACAATGAATGAATGGAAACCCAAAATCTCTGTAAATGTTTATGAAAATTAATAAAATATAATTATAGAAAAAAAAAGGAAAACAAAGAACTCGTGAAATAGTATACAAAATGGGTGACCCTGGAGGACATTATGCTGAGTGAAATATTTCAGTCACAAAAAGACAAATACTGTATAATTCCACTGTTAATAAAACAGGACTGACATGGGGGTTGGGAGAAAACTAAGAGGGGATAAATAATGTATATGGCATTGAAACAGATGAGGGAGAGAACTATATAAAAGGAATATATGATTACGTATTATTGGCATGACAAGAGTCCAGAATAAGAGCTGTATAGTAAAGTGGTCGGGGAGGAGGGGTGCGGGGCGTTGCAGGGAGACTGTATAACAATGGTAGAACTTTTTTTTCCTAAGAAAAAAGCCAACTGAGGGGGAGGGGGAGGGAGGAAAATGTGCAACAATGAATGAATGGAAATCCAAGTTCTTTATAAACTTAAAATCTCAGTTGAAAAAAGAAAAGGACTGTTTATTGAACGAATGAAGCTCTGTGGCCGTGGAGGTAAGGCAGGGTGGTTTACCTGTGTGTGTACCCTGTGCTGACTTTGCTCACTGGGTATTCCAGGAAACCGTTCACTATGGACTAGTAAGTTAGCACATGTTGTTGTTGTTATTAAGTGCTGTCGAGTCATAGACGACTCATAGCGGCCCTATGAACAAAAGACCTGAACACTTGAATAACTTTCGCCGTTTCTCCAAGTTCATAGAGTTTCCGCATACAGTCTGCTTATTTTGCTTCCTGAGGACTGTGAGAAATTGTGCATTTGAAAAGAGGCTTTGATTTTGCAAGAAAGTGCTGTGTGTTCCTGAGCGACAGATGCCAGTCAGATTTATAAGCTTTGATGGGGTGAAAGTGTGAACTGGCTCACTACAGATTAAATACATACAGGTAAGCAGTGCCTACCTTGCTTTTTGGGTAATCAGACACTGGGATGAGGTGCTGCGATGGACAGCAGGTCAAGGAGAACCACATGGTTGGAATGAGGGTAGAGCAGATGCTCTAAAGAAACAGGGTTATGAGCATAGACAAAGCTGCTGGAATAATGATCAAGAGTGAAGAACACACCCAGCCCTGTGTGTGTGTGTGTGTGTAAGAGAGAGAACTTTTACATACATTACTCTTTTATTCTTCCCAACACCCCTCGTGAGATAGACATTATTATTCTCATTTCATAGTTGAAGAAACGAAAGCACAGAGAGGCTAAGCAGCATATGAAGTTCACACATGGACATAAGAAAAATGTCCAGGACACATGTGTTAGGACCATGTTTCTTTCATGTTCATCCTACCAGCTTCAGCAGACACCAAAGGGCAAAGCCATTCCTGTCTTCTTCCCTAGGACCCCCACCCCTTCAACCTGATGAAAGAAGCCAATGCAGCGTCTCCTCCCTGCTCCATCGGCTCAGCTCTGTAGGGCAGTCCCTGCCTGCCTGCCTGCCTGCATGCCTGCCTGCCAGGGAGGGTTAACAAGGCGTGTTTGTAGCAGTCACTGTCTCCAAGGAGAGGGGAGGAAAGCAGAGTGGAGAGAGACAGCCACTTCGGACTCTGCGGCCTGTGCAGAGTGGGTAGCTGGCAGCTTGACCTGTCCAGCCCTGAGGGAAGAGAGGAGTGCTCCCACCTCCACCATCCTGGGAGGTGGCGAGCTCTGTGAGGTCTGGACGGAGAGAGAGGGAGGTCGCTATAGGGCTACTAGGCAGAGAAAGTTCTGGCAGGCACTGTGGAATGTGGGGAGTTGGGGGCTGGGCCTGGCCTTGTGGCTGAAGCTAAAAGCAAGAAGCAGAGCCTTAAATCCTAGGTTTGGAAAAGGATAGAAAGGGGAACCACAGGAAGGACGGAAGGCCAAGATCCAGCAGGTGGCACGAGAAAAGACCAGCAGTGGGAGAGAGGTGGTGCCCCCTCCTTCTCTGCTAACACTGGGGCCATGCTCCAAGCCCAGGGGTTCAGGAGCAGACCTGGGACCCCAAGGCCTCCTGTACGAAGCATACGGCCCTTTAAGTCCTGTGAGCAGTACCTGGAGGCCATGAAGGAAGACCTGGCCGAGTGGCTGCGGGATCTCTATGGACTGGACATAGACAAGGCCAACTTCCTGCAGGTGCTGGAGACGGGCCTGGTGCTGTGCCGGCATGCCAACGCCGTCACTGAGGCCGCCCTGGCCTTCCTGGAGGAGGCACCTAGCCAAGCCCAAACGATTCCCATGCCCCGGGCTGGAGTTTCTTGTAACGGGGCGGCCCAGCCGGGCACCTTCCAGGCGCGGGACAACGTCTCCAATTTCATCCAGTGGTGTCGAAAGGAGATGGGCATCCAAGGTAACCACCCTAGTCTCTTCTCATCTTGGGCCTTTACCATGTGGGGACATCCTGGGTCCTCCTTCCAGATCCTCTTTGGGCTAACTCATTCCCTTCCAGGCCTCGGTTTCCCCATCTCCTAGTAAAACTTCAAGAAATCAGTGCGCTGTTGATGAATGCTTTAGAAATTCATGCATCTCCTCTATGCTGAGCATCATACTGGGCATTAAGGAGCCAGAGGAATAAGACTCAGAGCCCGAGTCCACAGGCTAGAAAGAAAGAGAGATGCATCCATCTGCAAAGGGCATCCTGGTGTGTAATGCATGCCAAAGTGGAGGGGTATACGCCTGCAAACCAGAGGGGGAAACAGCCACTTGAGTAGGGTTCAAGGGGGATGGAGATTTGAAGTCTTGAAAAATAGTAGAAGTTTGGGGAAAGGAAAATTCCAGGTGGAGGGACAGCTGGGACAAAGGCATAGAAAGGGTGTTGTGTTTGGGTGCCTGGGAGAAGCCGGGCAAGGTGTTGTGAGGGCAGAGGCTGGGATGGGGCAGGGTGAGGACAGGAGAAAATGCAGGTGGGGTGGTGCAGACGGACTCTGGTGTCGTGGGGCCTCCAGGGCTCAGGGAGGGACATGGTATGACCTTCCCTCTCCTTGGCCTCAGACTCAAGAGTGGGGTGAGGCAGGATGCTGCACCATTTTTCTAGTATGTGTGTGTGTGTGTAGGTGATGATAAGCTTTATTGTTATTGTTTTTAGCTGCTATCAAGTAGAACACAGAGCAACCCCAGATGCCTGCTCCTATACCATCCTCTTGGCTGGCTGTGGACTGGACCATAGTGATCTGTAGGGTTTTCACTGGTTGATTGTTGGAAGTAGATCACCAGGCCTTTCTTCCTAGTCTTAGTCTGTTCAGCATCATAGAAACACAAACTTCCACAGATAGACAGGTGGTGGCTGCTCTTGAAGTGCTCTGGCCGGGAAGGAGAGAATTCCACCACTGAATCACTGATGTCTTGAAGAACAGGCTTAGAAAGTTGAATAAAAGGTAGCATTTTATTGAGTGCTCAGTATGGGCAAGGCATTGTTGTGCATCTAGACATTCCTGGGATCCTCACAACAGCCGCATGAAGACCCCACCCATTTTATAGGACAGAGATGCTTGGAGGTGAGGTAGTAGGGGGTGGTGGTTGTTATATACCATTGAGTCAGAATGACCCCATGCTGACCCTCCAGTGGGTTTTAGGACACAGTCAATTACAGGAAAGAGACTGTCCATCCTTCTCCCAGTGCTGGGTAGGAACTATAAAATGGTGCTTCCAGTTCCTTGCCTTTTTCTTTTAAAATTTTTATTTTATATTGGTTTGTATACAAAATGCTTGTACATTGTGTTTCACACTTTCCTTCATTCACATTGTGTTTCATACAATCATTCCCATTCATTATGTTTTATTAAACTATTCACCACTGAACTGTACTCACCATTACCCTGTCGCTCTAGATCCCCGCTGGATCTTTCCCATTTGTTCCTGGCAAGCTGGGTGGGGAGGGCAAATGGCATTAACCCTCCTCTTGCCAAGGACCCACAACCAGGCTCCAGGATCCTCCTGTGTCAACTCTCTCAACACCTGCTTCTTCTGTTACTTAACTGCCCTCCGTGTCTGGGCACTGCTGCCTTGCCCCTCCTGGAGGGCTGCTTTGCCTTCCATTCTGCAGTCAAGCCACTCTCATGCACCACCCAGCCAGGAAGCCCCCAGGGAGTCCCGCCTCTTCCCAGCTGACCTCTGTCGCAGATCCCACGGCCTCAGCTTTTAGCAGCCCCCCCACCCACCGGCCTCTGCTCACGAGGCCTCGTCCCCCTCCCCCTAGAGGTGCTGATGTTCGAGACCGAGGACCTGGTGCTGCGCAAGAACGTGAGGAACGTGGTGCTGTGCTTGCTGGAGCTGGGCCGCCGGGCCTGGCGCTTCGGCGTCGCGGCGCCCACACTGGTGCAGCTGGAGGAGGAGATCGACCAGGAGCTGCGGCGGGAGCTGGCGCTGCCCCCGCCCGACCCGCCGCCCCGGCCGCCCGCCCGCCACGCCCGCCACTTCCACAACCTGGACCAGATGGTGAGCGGCTGGGGTGGGCCTCCTTCGGCGCCAGGTCAGGTCCCTGGGAGGCAACCTTCCTCCCAGCTCAGCCCGAGTGAGCTCTCATTGAACTTGCTGTGTGGCATGCTGCTCCCCACCCCCCACCCCCATCACTCAGAGTCATGGCCAACGTATTCCTCCTAATATGTTCCCACTTTCTGCATGCGCCTCGGCCCCGCCACAGCCCTGCGCGTGGTTTGGAAGATCTGACTCCGGGGTCTTGGCGCAAGACTTCGTTGCAGTGCTTTGCAACTGAGCAAATGATGTAAACTCTCGGTAAACTCCGGCTGGTTGGTTTCTTCATCTGTGAAGTGGGGGGGTGGGGGGGTGGGGAATTGGAACTGCCACCAACTTTCTCGGGCTGCAACTTTCTCTGGCTGCTTGGAGCCCAGGCACGCCAGTGCGTAAACAGTGTCTGACTCAGATGCAGGAAGAGTAAAGCTTCCTGCTATTAACTCCATTTTCACCACGGAGGAAGCACGCCCAGGGAAGTTTCTTAACCTGTCTAAGGACTACAATGTGGTAGAAGGAGGGCACATACCTGCCATATTGCATACCCACTTCTGTTCATAATTACACTGTCTCCTTTAGCTGGACCACAGGCAATTGATTGCTAAAGGTCTTGGTCTTCATGGGACATTTAAGTCTTCTCTCTTCCTTCCATTCTCAGTCCCTATCCCTGACTTAAGCAGAAAAGGGTGGTAGGGGAGAAAGCAGGTGACCTCCCAGAATGTTTGACCAGCGTGGGAGGAACTTAAGAGGCTAGACAGAGGGGAGACTGAGCCCCCTGCCTTCTCCTTACAGGTTCGGAGTCTCGTCAGCCACTGTACATGCCCCGTTCAGTTCTCCATGGTCAAGGTGTCCGAAGGGAAGTACCGTGTGGGGGACTCCAACACCCTCATTTTCATTCGAGTAAGTCCCAGGCTGGTGGTGGTGGGTTCTCCCCACCTCAACAGAAAAAGGGCTTCTCCTACAGGGCTTTGCCCACAGCAGGGGCGAGGACTGGAAGTCACAGTTCACCCCAGTTCACAGAAGCCAGTTATCATGCCCTGGGCTCTCTTCTTCCAGGATCCTCTCCTCCCATCAGAACAGCCAGAACGCCCTCTCCCACAGCCTCTACCTTAGACTAATTGAGAAGTTGTCTCCAGGGAGAAAAGGGGGCACCCACAGGTTTCATCAGAGCAAAGAGTCGAAGAATCCCAAGTGTGTTTAGTGTAATGATTCCACAGCTTGCCCCTCACATGCATGGCTTGATTGTTGTTAGGGGCTTTGAGTGACTTCTACTCACAATGAACCTAGGAACAACAGATGGAAACTTGCCCTAATCTGCTCCCTCTCATGATCTCTGCCATGCTCAAGTCCAATGTTGCAGTCACTGTGTCCATCTTGTTGAGGGTCTTCATCCCTTTCTCTGATCCTCCACTTTTCGCAGCATGATGTTCTTTCCCAAGGACTGGCCCCTCTTGACAATATGTCCAAAGTATGTGAGACAGAGTTACATCATCTTCGCCTCGAAGAAACACCCTGATTGTATTTCCTCCAAGATAGACTTGCTTGTTCTTTTGGCAGCCAGCACCACAGTCCCAAGGCCCATCCTGCAAAAATTAGTATCGGCACAAGTCTTCAATGTGCCTCCTGCTGCCCCATCACCAAGAGGTATAGTCTTTACCCAGGTGGGTGGCCAACAGCTCAGGGGCGTGGTCAAGCCTTTTCTTTGGGCGGGGCCTTGCTGAAACTGAGGAGGACCTGAAGTGCTTGCTGCAGAAGGTCAAGGACTACAGCTTTCAATAACAAGAAAACAAAGATTTTCACCACTGAGTCAATTGGCAGCATCAGGATGGAGGGTGAAGAGATTGAGATTGTTAACAGCTTTAGTTTGCTTGGCTCCCTGGTCAACACTCTTGGCACCAGCAGCCAGGAAATTAAAAGACATAGTGCGAAGGGGAAGTCTGCTGTTAGGGACCTCTCCAAAGTCCTGAAGAGCAAAGGTGTTACTCTGTAGACTGAGGTGCGCCTGATACAGGCCATGGTCTTTGCAATCACTTGCTATGCATCCGAGAGCTGGACAATGACTAGGGATGATAGAGAATTGATGCCTTTGAGCTGTGGTGCTGGAGAAGAGTATTGACTATATCATGGACTGCTAAGAAAATGAGCAGCTTCATCTTAGGGTTAAATCAAGCTGCTCCTTGGAGACAAGGATTCTGAAGCTTCGTCTGACATACTTTGGACATGTTGCAAGGAGGGACCGGTCCTTGGAGAAGGATGTCATACTTGAGAAGGTGGAGGGACAGCGCAGGAGAGGAAGATCCTCGATGAGGTGGATTGATTCACTGATTGGGGTAATGGGAGTAGGTATGTCAGAGACAGTGAGATTAGCACAGGATAGAGCAGGGTCTAGGGCTGTTGTACTCAGGATTGCTATGAGACGCAGGCAACTCGACAACACATAACAACAAATCCGTGAAGCAATAGACCTGGGAAACAAGGAGCTGTGGCCTCACTACAGAGAGAGGTTATGTGACTCACCCAAAGGGACACTTGGATTCTATCACACAGGTCACAGAGGCAAAGCCTGAGGTAATTAGGACCCATTTGTGCTAAGTGGGTGCTGCTACAAATCCCTACATAAGGGAGGGAGAAAGGAGTGCTCTGGGGCCCAGGTACATGATGCATATGAGGTCTGTCACCCAGTTGCAAAGTAACTTTCAGCACCTCCTTTCCTCCTGACAACATGTGTCACCTGGAACTAGTCATGGAGGAGACGGGGGCTACAAAGCACAAGGGCTCTAAGCTACATCTGTGTATGGGGTGTAACAGGCAAGTCTGAGAGTCTCTCTTGTTAGGTGCTACTGAGTCAATCGAGCTTGAATTTATGCAAGTTCCTTGTTTCTGGAAATGTAGAAGTCAGTAAAAGAGACAGTACAATGGAGTGACACAGTGACTGTAACCGTGGGCATGTTGGAGACCAAGATGTAGGACAGGGTGGGGTGGAGTTTCAAGCTCTTGGAGCTGATTCCAAAGCTCCTAACAACGTGGTGTGCCTGTGAACGGCAGATCAAAGCCATCCTTGAAATCTCTGCTGTGCTCATGTCCATCTCTGCAGTCACTGTATCCATTCAGCTCATGAGGGTCTCGCTCTTCTCTTTTACCCCCCCCCCTCCTTCCCAGCCTGACGTTCTTTTCCTAGGGACTCATCACTTCAAACAAACTGCCCAAAGTATATGAGATGAAGTCTCATATTCTTGCTTCTAAGGAGCCACCCTGTTTGCACTTCCTGCAAGTGAGGTGTGGTTATTTTGGCAGTCCATGGGATATTAGATACTCTTTCACTAACACAATTCAAAGCCATCGGTTCTTCTTTGGTCCTCCTTACTCTGTCCAAATTTCACAAGCATTTTAGGCAAAAGAAAATGTCATGGCTTAGATCAGGCTCATCTTAGTCATTGAAGTGACATCTTTGCTCTTTGGCAGTTTAGCAAGGTCCTTGGTGAACAGATTTGTCCCATGCAGTATGTCTTTTGACTTACTGACTACTGCTTCCACATATCTCTTAATGAGTGTGACATCTTAGAAGGTGACCCAGGAAAAGGGGAACCCTCCTCCACCTTGCCCTCAAACTCCTCTTTGCCCTCTGCAGATCCTTCGGAACCATGTGATGGTGCGTGTGGGTGGTGGCTGGGACACCCTCGGTCACTACCTGGACAAACATGACCCTTGCCGGTGCACATCCCTCAGTGAGTCTCCTGGGATAACCCCTCCCTGTGGTTGGAGAATTCCTCCATCCTGCCTTTCAAGGCTAGAAGCGGGGGCCAGAAGTAGGTCTGGTTTCCAAGTTCCACGGAGACAGCTTCTCTTGGCTAAGACACTGGTGAACCTTAACTCTAGGAGAGGTTTCTCCCAGACAGGCAAAACGGCAGGGGGTGAGGATAAGAAGATGGACGGGAGAGATGCAGGAAGGTACTGTAGAAGGCACAGGCTGCCCCTTCCCTAGTTTTAGGTGGAGGAAAGCTGGGCGGTCATGGGGAAGTACCAATTATAGACAAAAGGTGGCGCCAGACACAAGTATTTTGTCAGGGTGCAGCTCTGAAACACTCCAAGTCTTGCACTGAGATCCACTGTGATGGGATCAAGCACGGCTTGGAGGGGGCCCTTAGCTCTACCATCTCCTTCAGCACCTCATGCCTGCAATCTAAGCAAAGGTGATAGGTTTGCAATACCTAAAACTCAGCTTTAAAAATAGCCTTCCAGTTGTGGGTTTCTGACCAAATGACACCTGTTAAGCATTCCTAGCCCACCACTGTATGGCTATATTTAAACTAAGGTATGGGGTGGCATTGGAGAGGCCGCTAGGTCTGATTATCAGGATGTTTAACCCTCCCTCCTCTCTCTTCTGGGGGCTGTGTTGGTAGCACATAAGCCAGGAAGCTTCCTGAAGCCCCCAGCCCCACCGGTGCAGCATGAAGTGAGGGTGCAGGACGGGCCCTCGCAGCCCCAGCCCACGATGACCGTCAGCCGCTCGCAGACCCCACTGCCACCTGTGGACTGGAAGACATATACCTCTCCAGGCCGAAAGCTGAGGCCCCCTACCTCCTTCTCTTCCAGCCCCCGCAGTGATCGGGGTGCAGGGATGGGGGTCGTCAGAGAGATGACAGCACCTCTGAGGTAAGGGGTGGGGGCAGGGCTTCTTCTTCCTTAAGAGTCCACCTGACTCAGTGAAAGGGAACAGGGCTTCTTGCCCCCCAATATCAAGACCTTAAATGTTCAAACCCAGAAAACACCCTGTTTCTTTGAGGTCATCTTGTTACTTCATAAGGGGTGTGCTGGTGGCCAAGTGACGAGTGGTTTGTTGCCAACATAAAGGTGGTTCAAATCCACCGGCAGCTCTGAGGTAGAAGGAAGGGCAGTCTCCTTTGGTGCGATTTATAGCCTCTGAAAACCCCATGGAGGCTCCGTTATGAGTCGGCTCTGACTCGATGGCACACTACAGCAGCAAGAAGTTACTTCATGCCCTTTCCCATCTTACAGAAGAACAGACTTGTTTTTAGGTGCTGTTGAGTACGACGAATAGCGACTCTATGAACCCTGTCCTATCCTGTGCCATCCTCACAATCTCTGATACACTTGAGCCCACTGCTGCAGTCAGTCACTGTGTCAGTCCACCTGGGTGAGGGTCTTCCTCTCCTTCGCCATCCCTGCACCTTTCCAAGCATGATGTCCCTCTCCAAGCAACAGCTTCTTCTAGCAACATGCCCAGAGCATGTGAGACTGAGCTTTTATCATCTTTGCCTCCAAGGAGCACTCTGGTGGTTGACATCCAGAAAGGAGTAAGACTTACCCAAAGTCATTCTGCCATTCTGTGGTAGAGCAGAGAGTAAGTGCACCTCTCCCAAAGACAGGACCTCAAGGTTGTGGGACCTGCAGGTACTGTGAGCTGGGACCAGGCTTTCCTCAATTCCTTCTATCTGCTCCGCAGGGAGCTGGCATGAGGAAGACTTGGGAAGTCACAGAGAGGCCACTTCCTCCATTAGGGGTGAAAGTTTAGGAAGGCCCCTTGCTGTCTGACTAGGGAAAGATTATCCCTTCCCAGAGCCAGGGACTGGACTAAGTGACCCTATTAGACTTGCAGATAGATGTCCCTTCCTGGCTTATGATTCTCCCTTTCAGGTGTCGGGAGAGGTCACTCACCCCATCTCGGAGGCAGCGAGCAGCTGGGGACAGTCCATTCGGCCCGCACTCCTCCACTACCCACAGGGGTGGAGACCCTCAGGGCACACCGGCAGGGGTGCAGAAGGACAGACAGCCTCCTGAACTCCTCAGGGGAAGGACTCCCACTTCTTGGGTCCATGAGGAGACAGACAGCTGGGGACGCCATGGCAGAGCACCCACCCCACAGGGACTTCGAGCCTCCAAGATGACCACTAGAGGGACGCCAGCAAGAGGAACATTACCCCTGCCTCACTCCTCCAGCCGAGTCAAGACCCTGAACCCCAAGCAGCACCCTTGGGGTGAAGCTGAGGGTGCTTCCCTCCAATTCAGGGAGTCAGACACCATCCATTCTCCTTCCTCTGTTAGGGGGTCCACCAAGATCCCCACCCAGCTGACCCCTACGCACCCCCACACTCCAGGAAGAAGCTCTCCAAGCCTTGCAAATGGAGCTCCCAACACAGAACAGGAGAGAAGTCCCCACGCATTGTGGGCTGTGGCTGAAGATCCGGCTGGGTCCAGACCTGGGGACCACCATGGGAAGGGGAGGCAGGCGGACCAGACCCCAGACATCTGGGTTACAGGAGATGCTGGAAAACCCCCAGGACCTGGGCCTCAGGAACAGGAGAGGAGGGATACCCACAACAGTCTGGAAGAGGAGATCTTGGCCAATAGGAAGCTACTGGAGGTCAGGGGTGCCTGTCCCCGAGGCACAGGGTCTGGGATCATCCCTCGAAGTGGAGTCTATGTCCCCAGCCTGGGTGGGCGCTGGCCAGAGCCTGGGGGCACTTATGAAAAAGTCATTCAAGAACTGGCTCAAGGTCCCCCACCCCTCTTTAAAGTAGACCTGGGAGCCTGGCAGACAGTTCCTACAGGGTCCCCCAAATCAGCTGTTACTCTAAATCCCGGAAGAACAAAGGGGAAGTTGGGAATTAGAGAGGATGGCCCAAGGACTGGATCAACCCTGAGTGTCAAGGACCCCAAGATGGGGAAGGGACCCCTTCAGCAAGCAAAGGACAGCTCAGCCCCTAGTGCATCTGTCATCCCAGAAGTCACCACACTTCTGCCCTCTGACCCCAATCCTGACAAAGTCAATGCATGTACAAACAAGGGCAAGAGAACACTCCGGAAGCCTCAGAGGATCCCATCCATCTACAAGCTAAAGCTAAGGCCCAGAATCCGGCCTCGGCGGGACCACAGGCCTGAGAATCAGCCTTCACGCATTCCCAGGCCGCTGGCCTACCTCTGCCTGGCTCCAATCAGGACGTCCCCCAGGCAGAGGCTGATGGGCACAGCCCTGGGCAGCAAGGAAGGGGAAGCATCCCCAGTGAATAAGGCCTTGAAGGAGGGGAGAGAGGACGAAGGGCAGGACACTACCTTGCAGAGCAGCCTTCCACCTTCTGAGGACCAGAGGCCTCAGGAGCGTAACCAAAGCCCACGCACCCCTGAGGAGTCGTCGTGGGTCTGAGGAGGGGAACACAGAGGACACCCACATATCCATCAGATATAGACTCAATCTGTTCAGCTGAACAAAGGAGAAACCATCACCTTGGTCCATTGCCAGTCAGGCTGGGATGGGTGGGATCCTCTCATCTCTTTCCCAAGACTGTTCCCCAAACTCCTGTCTCCTGACCTCTGGCCATACCTGCCCCAGTTTCCACAGCTCCTCTAAGTTACTAAACACAAGTGGGTCTCCGAGTCCCCAACTTCTTGAGTCCCTCACTGGAGGACATGGTGGTGAAGGAAGGTGTCACCACACTGGGGGGCAGGGGGTGAGTGAGGAGGAGGTGAGGGTCGAGGGGCTGCCTGTCATTACTTTAGCCAAAACGGAGAGACAAGTGGCTGGTGCATCGTCAGGCAGGGACAAGCCTGCCCCATCCTGCAGGACACCCCTGCGAAGGACTTCAAAGCTTGGTTCTAGGTTTGGGAAGAGGGATGGGTGAGGATGTTCCTAACATATTTATATCCCTGAAGTTAGGAAGGACTGTGAGACTGACAGGCTCAGCCACTGTGGAAAGGAAGCCACGGAATCAGAAGCTGGGGACTATCCAGTTGTGTAAATTTTCCAGAGAAAAGTCATGGGGAGTAGTTAAGCATCGACTGTGGTTTTCATTAATGGTGGAAGGTGAGCCCAAGCCTGTGCTTCCCTGTGGTTCTCCTGGTTGACCAGAACCTTAGGACTCAGGATGCTTCCCTACTCTACCCACATCCCCTCCATCTACAGGGGAGTTCAGCAAGTGTGTTCCAGAAGAACCGCTCCCCTTCCACCATCAGAAACAGAGACAACACCTTGTACAGAAACGAGGGAAAACACTCCCTGATTTTTAATCTGACTTCCAATAACATCGCGATGGGCATCACACGCACTTCCAGACCCTGTGGTGGGAAACCCTGGTGTAGGGGGATGATGTGGGGAGGGGAAGGACAGACTCAGAATGAGAGTGGAGGGATCTGAAACCAAAGACCTGAAGTGAAGCAGAGGGGACATGGGGGGTTGGTCAGGCAATACATTCCAATGGCTCCCACAGGGCAGCCAGAGGCCTGGGTCCCCCATGCCCCCTCAGGTGCCTCAGAGCTGGGGGTGTTGAGGCAGGCTAGATGCTGCTGTCCCTCACTTGGCGGGCCTGGTGAACCAGGGATGTAGGGGACCAAAGGGGGCAGGCCCTCTTCCTCACCCTCCCCACCACTCAGAGGTGTGGGGGAAGGGGAGCCTTCACCTGTTTCAGAGGGAGGCTCAGAGAGGGCAAGTCATTTGCCCAAAGTCACCCAGCAGAGCAGGGACCAGAGAGCTCTAGGGCTGCGCTCACCCACTTGGGTGGGGGGAGTGAGGATCAGCTGGGGGAAGCAGAAGAGAATCGATTCCCTCCCATACTGGATCTTGGTGACAGAGTCCCCACACATGTCCCTTCCCCAGACTCCCTTCCATCACACCTGATTTCCTGGCCTCAGCCAAGAGGAGGCTGAACTAGCTGTCTTCCCCTCCAACAGGGGACTCTGTTGTCTTCCGACCAGGCCAGGGCTGAGCGTTCAGCCCCCGAGGACTGCCCTTGGCCAGGGCACAGGGGACCTGGCACCACTTCTCCCTCAGGCTGCTCCTAGAATCCTCATCATTATTACTGTTATTTCTGAATCGGTACAAAACTGACAGTGATCAGCTCCGGTGACGAGAGGTAGAAACCCCGGCCAGGCAGCCGGTGAAAATGGGTGGAGTGAGTCAGGGCACTGGGAGGAGGAATTGTCAGATCCCAGGCAGGAGGGGGAGTCCCAAGGGCCTCCATTCACAGAGGGGATGTGGGCACACCTCCACAAAGCACAAGGGGCCCTCTAATTCTTTTCCTGCCTCCGTTTCTCTGGGGACTCCCAGGGTCGTCTGAGATTTGAGGCTGGCAGGGTCTGGGGCAGTCAGATTGGGGCAGGAGGTGGAGATAAATTCTGCACTGGCACAGCTTGATCTCTTTGCCCCCCACATCCCCCAATCTGGCTGACCATCAAAAGCAGGAGGAAATAGAGGGCTGGGACCTGGTATGATGGGAAGAAATCTATCCTTTGGAAGATGTCCTCTCTACACTCTAAATAAAATGAAGATTTAACTCATGGGTGATCTGGCTTTGGGGGCAGGGAGGGGAATGAGGGGCACCCGGCAGGGACGGACCATCGAGTTAAGGCTGGAAGGTAGGTTGTTGTGTCTCTGGGGGCTGCTGGGCGGGGAGGTCTCCCTGGAAGGGGGAGAGCTCAGCCTTCTCCCCCTGACTGATCTGGGACCTCAACCCTCCGACCCCTTGATTGTGGCCCTTGGGGCCACCCGCATCTCTCTGCCCTGTACCGGTGGTGCTGACAGTCAGATGGCCTGGCTTTTCAAAGAAGCTGCCAGGATCTGTGACAGGGGGATGGACGAAATGAGAGCCCTGTGAGCGGAGCTGGGGGGTGAGGAGGGGACTGGAGGGTGGACAAGACAGCCAGGGATTGAGACACCTGGGCAGACAGACGGACACGGGAAAGGGAGACATAAGGAAAGGCAGACATTCTCTCTCTGGAGATGGGCGGGGGCCGGGTCCAAGCAGCACCTCCACACGCCCATCTCTATTTCACCTAAGCACCCCATCCCAAAGGGCTGTGGTGCCCTTCAGAGCGGGACTAGTCAGCAGTGGACTGCAGCACTGGGACGGCTGTCTCAGGAAGACAGATGGAGAAGGGGGGGACTGGGCAGCTAGGGGGGGCTCCCTTTCACCCTATGCCTCTCACCGGGGTGCGGCGTAGCTGTGGGGCGGTCCAGGCCGAGACCATCGAGTTCTTGCCCGCCCGGCCCCCGAGGCTCAAGCCCCGCAGTCGGGTGGGGAGGCTGGGCCGCGCTCGGCTTAGGGCCGCCCTCCGCGTGGCTGGCGAGCCTCCGGAATCCGCAGGCTCGGGCGCCCCGACGGGCAGCGTCACATGATGGCGCAGCGGTTGCGGCGCAGCGCGCCCTGGAAGCGCAGGGCGGCGTGCACGTGTTTGCAGCGGGCGCAGCCGACGCTCTTGAGCAGCTCGCTGAAGAGCAGCAGGATGTGCCAGTTGTACTTGGCCGAGCACTCCACGTAGCCGCACTTCCAGGTCTTGCGCACCAGGTGCGACACGTTCCAGCGCGGGATGACGCGTCCGCGCTGCAGGTCCCGCTTGTTGCCCACGATGATGATGGGCGTCTCTGAGGTGCCTATCACCCTGCAGGGTGGGGGCCGGAATCTCAGAACTGAGACAATCTCACAATCACCCGACCCAAGAACAGCTCACACCACCAGACCTAAGAAGGAAGGGTGAGATATCTGCCCAATACTACCACTGTATGGCCTGACGACTTGGGGGTAAGGAATTGCGCCACCAACACAAAGGTATGAGGTTCCTATTCACCAGCTGCTCTGTGGAAGAATGCTGGGCAATCAGTAAAACACAAGTGTTTTACTGCCTGTGAAAACCCACTGGAGGGAGGGCTATGAGTTGGCTCCAACTGACGGTAAACAACAACAACTGTATGGCCCAGTGCTAAGCCTTAAGATACATCCTTTAATTGGCCCAACTGAGTCAACATTTGGGCATTCTTCTTCCATTTTAACAGGTGAGAAAACTCAAGTTTAAATGTTACTTAGATTAATTGGTGTTGTTTGTACCATAGAGGCAGAACCGACCCATAGCTGACCCTCTGGCGGCTTTTCAGAGGCAGTTAATCACATGGGCAAGATTGCATCTCCTTCTCCCACAGATCAGCAGATGGCCTCGAACTGTGTTCCTTGTGGATTGTAGAGCAGCTTCCTGTCACTAGGCCACCAAAGCTCCGTAAATGTTAAGCTCGAGTAACATATTTAAGTGAGTGGCTCTTCCTCGTAATGACTACACTAGTCTAGTCACCCCATGGTAAGAATCCCAAAATGAGCTAACAAAAATAGGGACAGTAAAATGTGAATGTGTATAGGAACTACAGTGGTATTTTGTGTCACAAAGTTGGACCTGCCTCATAGCTGACATACCAGTGGGTTTTCAGAGACTGTAAACTGCACAAAAAGAAACTGTCCATCTTCCTTCTGTTGAGCAGCTGATAGATTCAAACCTCCTGTCTTTGGGTTGGCATCCCAACTCCTTACTACTATGCCACAAGAGCTCCCTCTTAACAACCTCAAGGGACATACACTTCACCCCTATCCTCTCACTGTCCCCCCTTTCTAGGAGCTGACTAGCAGTGGGACATCTACAGATGTGAAGATAACTGTGCCAAGTCGCTCACCTCGTCTCCAGGATCTGCTGGCGGATGGTCTTGACGTACTCAAAGCTGTCAAAGCAGCAGATGTCGTAGACCAGTATGTAGGCGTGGACGCTCCGGAGTCCCCTGCAGCAGGCATCTGCCCACTCCTGCAACAACCCCACCCCAAACGGAGCCAGAGTCAGGCCAACATGAGGGCTGTGCTTTCACCTAGCCACTTCCTGCCACTCACCTAACCACTTCCTGCCACCTGGTAGCACTCTCACCTAAGTAGAGCAGCCCATCCCACCATCCCCAGAAGGCCTAGCCCTGAGCACAAGGGAGGAGCTCAGCCATGCAGCACTGTCACCCTCAAGCCAGGAGAGGGCAAGCCATACTGTCCAACCTGCAGCCTCACTGCATCATTCCTTCCATGCACACAGGGAGCCACGAAATAACTTCTTCCTTTCCAACCCATCATCTATCCCATTTATTCAACCAGTACATTTACTAGGTGCCTCTAAGAGACCAGTCTAGAAGTGGAACCTGTTGAAATCCAGGTTCAACTCAAATGCCACTTCCTCTAAGAAGTCCTCCTGATTTCTCACACTTTCCTTTATCTTTGCTGTTCTGAGAGTCCTTTGACTGTACTTTGATTAGAGCTGCTTCAGTCTCCAGTGTCTCAATTCTTCTGTGTGCTCCCGGGAAGGCCATGGCCTTCCTTATTTTGACATGCCCCCTTCTGTCCCCTCAGCACCAGAGCA